ACTGCACATAGGGGAAGCAGAAAGCACCTGCTGTCCCAATGGGACTCCTGTCTCATCCCCATCCACTCATTTGCCCAAGCTGGTTTCTAAGTGCCATCTTGGAATTCTTCTCTTCGGACTCCATCCCAAGCAGCACCATCACCATCGTATCACTCCTATATATTTTAGAAGCCTGCTTGATTGCCTCTCTATCTTCTCCAATCTATTCTCCGTTGGGCAGTCACACTTCTGCTGCCTTGTTTCCCCCAACCCTTTTCCCTTCTTCTTTCTTTCCCTCTCCACTGGACCTTTGCTCAAATTCTTTCCTCTGCGTGGAACTATCTTCTCTCTCCTTCCATCAGACAGGAGATCTCTGACTGACCCCGTGAGGGGCCCATCTGCTGTTTGGTCCAGGTTTTCCTTTAACTTCTTGCTAGACAGCACTCATCACACCTCAATGAAATTGTTCCTCTGAAGTCTACATTCCCAGCTGCTCGAGGAGAGGGTCTGCGTCTACCATCTTCAATCTCTGCGTCCCAACTGCTGGGCATCAAGCCAGGCACACACTAGATCATGGAGAAAGAGCTACAAAAAGCATGGATGTCTAAGTGACTGGCAGAGTCATCTGCAGGGGCAAAATAGGGGCCAGAGTATCAAATTCCTCCATGATTTCTGCAATTCCTTTAACATTAGCTTTATTGAGATAAAGATCACATACCATCCATTTTACCTACTAAAAGTATAAATTCTTTGATTTTAGTATATTCACTATGCAACCACTGTCACAATTTTAGGACATTTTCATCACACAGAAAAGAAATTGTCTCACTAGCCCCACCCCGACCCCCATGTTATTGTTAAAGACCAAAAAACCTAATGTGTAGAGTGTTTTATAGTTAACAAAATATTTCATGCAGGCTCAGTGAGTCTCAAAGAGTTCTGTGAGGTGGGCATTTGAAGCAAATTTCACTAGGGCTAAACTTCAGTGTACAGAGTGGGACTTTTAGCTAATAAAAAGGTTTTTAAAATTTTTTATTTTTTTCATTCGCATATTTGGTACAGGGTCTCACTATGCAGATCAGACTCGTGGTGCTCCTCCTATCTTCAGTCTCCCCTGCGCTAGGATTACAGGTGTGCGCCACCACACCTGGACTCTGTCACCTGCTCTGCAACCCCCTGGGGACAGGGCTGGCACAGCCTGCGAGACCAGGCACAGAACCAGTTCTTGCACTTGCCAAAGCAGGCGCTTAGTCTGCTGAGCTATCTCGCTGGCCCTAGCTAATAAAAAGTTTAACCTGGAGGGAAGGGGAAGGGTGGTGGAGGTGGCTGTGTATAGAATGTCACCTCTATAAAGGCACAGTCCCCTCTGGGTAGGTGTTCAGGCTAGACCCTAGGTTGCTCCTATAACATGTGTCATGCTGAGTGTGGAAAAATCAATTAGCTGGGGGATGGAGAAAGCAGAGAAACAGTGCGTGCATACAGCAGACGGCTTTAGAAACAATAATGATGGTGAAGGTAATGCATGATCTAAATTTGAATCCTGATTCTGCTACTTACTACAATTCATGACTATGGGCAGATTAATGTACTCAACCTCCAGTTCCTTTATTTGAAAATAGCACATACAGCATCTTTCATGTATGGTGGTTGTGATAATTAATGGGGACACACAAAGCAGCGGGCACAGAGGCTGGCGCTCAGGCCACAGTAACACATTTCATCACTAAGAGAGAGCAGATGGACGGCCATAACACTACGTAATTACTGAAAATGATAGCTCGTTGTCATCCAGGTCGTGGTGAGATAGATCCACTGTGACACTGCAGGGAGGAGATAAAAAGGGCTTTCTGAAAGCGGAAGGTCAGTGTGGTGCAAGAGCAAAGAGACAGCTTCCCTGGCTTACAGATCTGTTCCGGGAACTCAGCGGGTACCATAGCGAGATAATCTGCAATGGGCTTCTCCCCCAAATCAGCCGGTGCCAAGGGCCCCTTGCAGTGCCGCCTGCCCACCATAGCACTGAAAACAGCTCATGGGGGCTATAAATGAAAGGCTCGGAATGGTGATTTGGCCAGATGAGAGATGAGGCAGCTATTAAAAACATTTTAAAAGTGAAGATGGAGAGACTCACATTCACCCCAGCACAGCAGGAATTGCCCGTGGATAGGCAGAGCAGACCGGGTGCCAGAGAGCGGGAAACCCTCAAGACCCTGGATTGCATTTGAAGTGCATAGGAAGTCTCTGGAACTTATTAATTAATTAATTAATTAATTCACTTGTTTGGGAGGGCCCTGAGCATCTTAGCCATGTCCTTTACCAAGGAGCTACATCCCCAAGTTCCACTGGAAAACTGAGCAGAGAGTGACAGTACCAGAAAACTGTGACCCTTAAAAGCTCAGTCTTTATAACAATCTGTGAAAGTATTTCTCAAAAGACAAGCATACAGATGAAACACAACGCAAAACACAGATTGGGGTGATTGAACAGTGAGTAGGGCTCCCCCCTTTTCCAAAACTTCCCTAATCTTGCTGACATATCATTCCTTCACCTAAAAATCAAGAGAGAAAACTGATGGTCAAGTGAGGAGTGGGTTTGCTCTCCCATAGGTGTTGGGAGAGCACTATAAGGGCCTGGAAGAGAGGCTTTGCTCTTGTGACAACATGGAGATGGAGAGATGTGGAGGAGGGGAGTGCCTTATCGACTTCATCTGAGGCCCCTTCTCTCCCAGGTGATAAACTATCAAAAATAGCTTCCTGTTGATGTCTCAGATGTTATAACTTCATTTATCACTGTTCTGATCTGCCCTTGCATCCTACTCTTGGGGCTGGAGCCTTTCAGTTCAAAGCAAAGGGGCCCATGCCAGGCAGTTCTTGGCACTGGACCCAGCAAACAACCCAGTGCGGGTCCATTCCGGGCAGGAGCAAGTGAGGCACCTTGCAAACCTCCTTCTCACCCTTGGCCAGGGCTCGCATGCAGCCAGGGCGTGTGAGCTGCACGGGGCAGACGCTTGAGTCCACTTGCTGATCCATGCCACTGGTACGTGTGAGGTGCCCATTGGTTATGGGCAGCATGGTGGAGATAGGGACACAGAAAAGATACAAGTCCTCTATGACACTCATGCTGCTGTTTAAAGTACTGGACAACACAAAGTCATGTAGAGCACAACAGACATTGGAAAGGATTGAATCAAAACTTTACAGGGGCTGTGTGTGTATCTCCATGGTAGTACACGTGCTTAGCATATGCAAGGCCCTGGGATCTATCCAAGCATTAACAAATAAATAGACAAATTTTCTTATAATGACACACAAGGAAAGTACAGTCAGGGAGGACAAGTGCCTCAGATCCTCAGGAAACAAAGGTGATTTTGTGCTGAACTATGATGACTCCTACTGGCTTCTGCCAAAGACAGTGGTTGTCCTCATAGCCTAGTAAATAAAGGTGCCCCCATTTCTGACATGGGGAGCATGCCTCCTCCTAGTTCCAATAAAATGAGGAGCTTTAAATTTGTATGTGAAGGAGCTGAAATATGTGGTGTTCAAAGACACCTTAGCAATGACACATCCGTGTGAGCCCTAGGAAGTGTCGTGGCAGGTTCTGGTCACACAGTGGTCACAGGAAGAGGAGAACAGTGTGCCTGTTACACAGGCTGGGATGCTAGTAGTGGGTCATGGGAATAGAAAGTCAAGAATTTCCACAGGCTAATTGTAGCTCAAGATAGAACTCACAGCTGGGTCTGTGAGCCGAGTAAATCACCCTGTGTGTTCCTAAATTCCCAGGAACAAAAGACTCAGCTTCACAGAGGGCTGGGTGGTAGGCAGGCACCCCTATGCTTGGCGAGAGCTCCATATTCTTAACATAATCCATGCAAAGGAGAAAAAACTGCAGTAAGCTCAGGGCCACAGGGCTGAGATGATGATAGAGGCTGAAACCCCTGAAAAGGACTCAGCCCGAGGCCTGGCTTTCCCATTCACAGTTAAAGACTAAAAACCACTTGAGCACTATTATGTTTGCTTTGTTAAGCACTTCAGCTACCTGTTTATATTATTTCACCATCAACAGCTTTGTCAGCTTTTTAAAATAGAAATTTATTATTAACCCAATTTTACAGAGTAAAAACTCTGGGTTAAAGTCACCAAGTAATTTTTTCTAAGTCACTCAGGTACTAAGTGGTGCAACCAGGATGGATATATCTGACTTAAAAGGCATTATTCTACACTGGGCAGTGTGGTTGCGACCAAAGGTGACATCTTAGAGGCCCAAAAATTCTACTGTCTTTATATTACACTGGGATTGTTTTTATCTTCCTCATATTCTTTTACTCTCAATGACAGATCTTGAGGTCTTAGCTTAAGAGTCCTAAAGCTCCAAACCCCACCCTTCCTTCCCCTCCCAATACACAGAAACTCAAGAAGGCATTTTCCCAGGTTTTTTTTTTTTGTTGTTGTTGTTGTTGTTTTTTTAACCAGGAATTGAACTCACAACCTCATGCTTACCAGACAGGCACTGTGCTGCTGAGCAATAACCCCAGACTGAAGAAGGCATTTTCAGTTTATCCATTTGAGGCTTAATGGCAAATTCTGTCTTGAAAAATCACCCCATTGGCTCTACCTCCCATGTACATTCGACCTACAGCCACACCGTGCACAGATGCAGAGTCAGCCAAGTCAGAGGGGTCTCGGCTATAGCTCAAGAGAAGATCTGCTGCCCGTAAGAGGGAAGTAAGCTCCTGTAGCAAGATGGTGCCAGAGCTTCAAGTCTCTTGACTCCTCCTCCTGTGCACTTTCCACTCTACCACCTGTGCATTCGCTGTGTTTAAACATGAGCACACACCGAGCATGAAGGACTGTTGACTGGCCCATCTGTACAGACTGCCCCCACTGTGGAGAGACAGGCAGTGGTATCTGCCCTCTGCCCCGCTCCATTCAGCTGAGCAGATCTCTATCTCTCTCCAGAGCTGCCTGCACTGCACTACCCTGTTGGAAATGACGAAACATTGGTGACTGACTACAGTGACAGAGGGAGTTCCGGGTAGGGTTGCAGGTGGTGAAGTTTCCATCTGGACCTTGCTGAAATACAGGCTGGACTCAGACCTTGCCCCTGGACCCGGAGGTAAGTACGGCTAGATAGGATTTTAAGCTAATGCAAAGCTTGTACATTTGTGGGCCTGGATGCGTATGGATTTCAGATACCATTCTCCCTTCTGTCAGGATTTTGGGATGCAATTCATTTTGCAGTCAGCTTCAAGGAACCCTGACATTCAGCAGTTTGACTTTGCAGATGTTAATCTTGCGTCCCGAGATCTGAGATCTGTCTGCATTAGCAGCAGCAACCCTCAGGGCTCCATCTAGAAGGTTTTCTGCATACCCAAAAACCTGGCTTCAAATACCCACTTTCCTGAACTTTATTGTGCTTCTGTTCCTCATCTTTAAACTGGGTGTTAGAACATCTATGCTACGGGCTTGCTGAAAGGATATAGACACAAACACTTGGTGCCAGGACGGCCCTCCTTCAGCAGTTGCTGTTACTTTTTAGTTAATTGGAAATCAGACTCCAGAGAAAATCTCCCCATAGGGAAGTTTTCCTTATGATTTATCTGAACCACAAAAGGTGGAAGGGAGAAGGCCTAGGAGCTTGAAATGTCATAGTCAGAAAATGTATCCTTTCTAAGAGAAAAGCCATGCACACAACCAGGCAAGGAAACAACCCCACGAGACAGGAACAGTTGTCCCAGAAATGGAGCTGTGTGCCCTGCACTGTTCCAGGAGATAACCCCAAGTTGGGGCTATGAATAGCTTTTGTTTACACTGGGGAAACTGAGGCTGCAAAGTGTTAAGTGACTTGACTGTCAGCAAGAGAATCTCTTCTAGCGTAGAAGCCACCTGAGACCCGCCTTTTCTCCTTGTCTCCCACCCAGGGAGGGGCTCGGACAGTGCAGTGCTGGAGGCCTGGACTAAAGGCTTGCTAACTAGCCGGTCCTGCTCCTGCTGCTGTGTGTGGGCCTCATGGAATCGGTGCTGGTGACTCTACCAGTCACTGGGCCTTGCACAGGACAGCTGCCCAATTAGAGGAACCCAATGCAAAATGAAAGCCTGGGGTCCCGTGTGCAAAAACTATTAGGAATAACAGTAAAGCATGTCCCTTTTGAACACAAGGCCACGCCAGGCTGCAAACCTGTGAAGCCAGTCCCAGCCTTGCAGGCTAACAATGAGGCAGGGAAGGTGCTAGAACATTCTATGGTCTCATGTAACCCTCCTGACCACTCTGTGAGGAGGACATTCAACTTCCCAGTCAAAAGAGGGGCAAACTAAGACTTGGGGTGTTGAGGGACCCTTCCAAGGTCAAAGGTTTCTTGGGTAGAAATTGATCAAATTGCATTTTGTACAGAGCTCTCTTTTGTATAAAATGTCCCCCGAAACTGTTAGGAATTATGGGGGTGCAAAATATGGACAAGATGTGCTGCCGACCCCCAAGAGCTCACAGACTGAGTGAGTATAATCTGTGAAAGGATTAGTTTCCCTGAAATGAGCTGGCTAATCTATGAAGTGTAGTGGACCGGCCCATGAAATGGATAATATTTATTTGGTAGCTCCCACAGGTCTCCAGGTTCACCCAGAACTAGCAAAACTGAATCCACCCACACTTCTCGTGGTGCTTGCAGCGCACTGTGTTCTTGCTGATCTAGTCTTAGAGCTAAATCTCATTCAGCACAAGGAATTTCCTGCAAAAATGTGTTCTCCAAACTTACTAATGAGAAGCACTAGGTGCTTGGTTTTTTCTTAAATAAACTGGCAATTCCTGTATCAAGACACGAGTGTGACTAGAGATACGGTATGTTCCCCTGAGACTCAAAGTGTCTCTTTCTGGTTAAGCCTCACCCTTTGTGTTCATTTTCCACCTGTGGAATTCTTGGACAAGGAAATGTCAGAACGAAATCTACTTAGCCCACCTCACCCCCATTTTATAGACAGGCAAACTGAGGCTCAGGGTCCAGCATGACTGATTGATAAGGCTGCTAATGGGGAAGCTCATCTAGTTCTCACTTCACGTTCCAGGTTACTCCTCTCCAGCTGGGGTCCGGGCCCTGACATGGTGGCCAGAGCCAGAGAGGATCCAGAGAAGATTCCTCCCATAGCCAGGACAAAGGTGACCCCCTAAGCTCTACTGTCCTCTTTCCCTTGGCATCTGAAAGACCGTGTGCCTCCCCTCCATCTCCTGTGTTCCCTGCTGGGTGCACAGTCTGGCAGCGGCGGTGAAGGATCTGATAAGGACGAGGTCTTCTTGGGACCCTGTAACTTTGTGTACTGGGTTACTTACGCACCTCCTCTGACACTGTGAAGGAGCCCTGGGCTCTCCCAGGCTCTACGGAGCGGGAGTGCTTCTATGGCTGAGCCGCCTCTGCTCAGGGCTGGACCCTCTGCTGGGGGCTGGACCCACTATTTGCTGCCTGGGGCTGTGGCCCATCCCCTGCTGAGCAGTAGATGTCGGGTGCCCTGATACGACCCTGCACACTCCCTGTGGCATGGGAAGTCTCTGCCCAAGCCCCCTGGGCTCAGTTCTGTCCCCTCTCGTTTCTGACATGGAGAACGGTAGTGTCTAGCTCTGAACATTGTTACTCGGAGGCTTAAATAAGATCGTGTAGGCAAGACGTTTTGCATAATTTGCACGAATCCTAAACACACACACACACACACACACACACACACACACACACACACAGAGGTGTTTTAAAAAAAGAAGTGGCGCCATCCTTATTTTCTAGATCTTACAGATGTGAATGCTGAGGCTGGGGAGGTAAACACTTACAGCTAGGAAGGCTGTAATCCTTACAGCGGGAATCCTGAATCCTGATCAGTAGGTCCTGCTCCTGGCAACTTTGCCGCGTTTCCTGTGGGGCTGCTTGGTGGAATTCCTGGCTTGTTCGCGCTCTCATTTCCCTGAGGTCAAGTCGGAGTTGAACTTTGTTGAGGACGGCCAGGCCCACAAAGCTGCGCGCTCTGCCAGGCTGCAATTCTTGAGCTGGGTTGCTCAGTTTCCTCTCTCCACCCAACTTCTGTGCCTGTGGCATCGCCTCTGCTTCTCGATTCTGCACATGTTCGTGTCTCAGTCTTCTAAGAACAGCACGAGCTCTTGGAAGCACAGACGAGTTCCGCGGACATTCAGCAGACTGCCTCGGGGCTCTGCTACCGTGGGAAGAGAGGTTTCTGGGTTGGCCTAGGTGCAGCGCTAACGTACTGCAGAAAACCTAGGCTGGGTTAAATGTCTTAGAACTTGTCTTGAGTACAGTTAATAGCAATATACTGCATTATTGACAATTTCTAGGAGAGTAAGTCTTGTTTATTTGTTAAGACAAGGTCTTGCTATATAGTTCAGGCTGGGCTTAAACTCACCGAGATCCACCTGTCTCATACTCCCGAGTGTTGGTGTTACAGGTGTGTACCGGAAGGCCCAGCAAGAGTGTAACTTTTAAGTGTTCTCAGCATAAAAATTAAAGTATGTGAAGTAATGCGCCTACTAATTTCAAAACCTGATGTATATCAAAACTATACATATTAAATTAAAGTATTAATTTAGGGGCTGGGGGGTCTTAGCTCAGCGGGAGTTGCTTGCCATTCATAAAGCCCTGTGTTCAATTTCCAGCACCCACCCCCCAAAAAGGCAGAACAACAACAAAAAAACCTCAAATTCAATCTAGAACAAACAGTTTTAATTAATAAATACAGCTTTTCTTAATAGGAAAAATGCATACTGATTCCTGAAAAATCTTAAAAATTGCAAAGTATAAAGACTGAAGTAAAATAATCCACACCCTAACGACCAGCTCTGTTAACATTAAGGCATATTTTGTGTGATTTTCCCTCTGTGAGTAAAGTACATTTGAATGACATTCCCAATTTATTTTTCATAAATTTATATATGTAAAGAAGTCTGTATTTATTAGACAAAATTATTGTTAAAGAAATCCTCTGGATTTGGCGAACTGGTCAATGAGTTGGGTAGTTTTTTGTGAACTAATATGACAGCAAAATAAGCTTACTGACCTAGCGTCCTCTCTTTCCCAGGTTTTATTCTTTTTATGTTTACTGTTTACAGAGGCATGAGCATGAGCAGGTGTGTCATTTTAAATATTCTATGTAATGTGTAAGTCCATTTCATTTCACTTTTTAAAAAATTTTTTTCACTTTTTGT